GTGTAAGGTGTGACAGTGGGTGTAAGGTGTGCAGGGTGGGGTGGTGTGACAGTGGGTGTAAGGTGACAGTGGTGTAAGGTGTGACAGTGGGTGTAAGGTGTAACAGTGGGTGTAAGGTGTGACAGTGTGTGTGGGGTGACAGGTGTGTAGGTGTGACAGTGGGTGTAAGGTGTGACAGGGGTGTAAGGTGTGACAGTGGGTGTGGGTGTGATAGTGGGTGTAAGGTGTGACAGTGGGGTAAGTGTGACAGTGGGTGGGTGACAGGTGTAAGATGTGACAGGTGTGTAAGGTGTGTGACAGTGGGTGTAAGGTGTGACAGTGTGTGTAAGGTGTGACAGTGGGTGGGAGTGACAGTGGGTGTAAGGTGACAGTGGGTGGGTGGTGACAGTGGGTGGAGTGTACAGTGGGTGTAAGGTGTGACAGTGTGTGTAAGGTGTGACAGTGTGTGTAAGGTGACAGTGGGGTGTAAGGTGACAGTGGGTGAAGGTGTGACAGTGGGTGTAAGGTGTGATAGTGGGTGTAGGTGTGACAGTGGGTGTAGGTGTGACAGTGGGTGTAAGGTGTGACAGTGTGTGTAAGATGTGACAGTTTGTGAAGGTGTGACAGTGGGTGTAAGGTGTGACAGTGGGGTAAGGTGTGACAGTGTGTGAGGTGTGACAGTGGGTGTAAGGTGTGACAGTGTGTGTAAGGTGTGACAGTGTGTGTAAGGTGTGACAGTGGGTGTAAGGTGTGACAGTGTGAGTGTAGTGGACAGTAGGGGCGGACAGTGACGGTGTGGTGACAGTAGGGCGGGACAGTAGGGTGAAGTGACAGTAGGGGCGACAGTAGGTATGGACAGTAGGGCACAGTAGGTGAAGTGGACAGTAGGGCGGGCAGCAGGGTGAAGTGGACAGTAGGGCAGGACAGTAGGTGAAGTGGACAGTAGGGCGGGACAGTAGGTGAAGTGGACAGTAGGGCGGGACAGTAGGGTGAAGTGGACAGTAGGGCGGGACAGTGAGTGAAGTGGACAGTAGGGCGGGACAGTAGGTGAAGTGGACAGTAGGGCAGGACAGTAGGGTGAAGTGGACAGTAGGGCGGGACAGTAGGTGAAGTGGACAGTAGGGCGGGACAGTAGGTGAAGTGGACAGTAGGGCGGGACAGTAGGTGAAGTGGAGTGCAGGGCGGGACAGTAGGTGAAGTGGACAGTAGGGGCAGGACAGTAGGTGAAGTGGACAGTAGGGCGGGACAGTAGGTGAAGTGGACAGTAGGGCGGACAATAGGGTGAGAGGTGCACACTGTCAGGACAGCTGCACTCCTCCATTCTTCTCCTCAGAATATTGATTATTCTCCCTCGAGCATTCCCTCCTCCCACCCTCCTTCTCTCCCTTCCTCCTCCTTCTCCCTCCCCAGTCACTTCTTACCCTCTTTCCTACATCCCTCTCACTACACCTCCCTCCCTCGTTCCCATCTCCCTAAATCCCAACTCCCCTCCTCAATATTTTTCCTCTGCCTCCTTCCCTTACCCACTCTCGCTCGCTGGTGATGGTGGAGGATGGTGATGGATAGTGGTAGTGGACGATGGTGATGGATAGTGGTAGTGGACGATGGCGATGGATAGTGGTAGTGGAGGATGGTGATGGATAGTGGTAGTGGAGGATGGTGATGGATAGTGGTAGTGGACGATGGTGATGGATAGTGGTAGTGGACGATGGCGATGGATAGTGGTAGTGGAGGATGGTGATGGATAGTGGTAGTGGACGATGGTGATGGATAGTGGTAGTGGACGATGGTGATGGATAGTGGTAGTGGACGATGGTGATGGATAGTGGTAGTAGAGGATGGTGATGGATGGTGGTAGTAGACGATGGTGATGGATAGTGGTAGTAGACGATGGTGATGGATAGTGGTAGTAGAGGGTTTGTGATGGATAGTGGTTGTAGAGGATGGCGATGGATAGTGGTAGTGGACGATGGTGATGGATAGTGGTAGTAGAGGATGGTGATGGATAGTGGAGGATGGTGATGGATAGTGGTAGTAGAGGATGGTGGTGGATAGTGGTAGTGGACGATGGCGATGGATAGTGGTAGTGGAGGATGGTGATGGATAGTGAGTAGTGGAGGATGGTGATGGATAGTGGTAGTGAGGGATGGTGATGGATAGTGGTAGTAGAGGATGGTGATGGATGAGTGGTAGTAGACGATGGTGATGGATAGTGGTAGTAGAGAGAGTTGTGATGGATAGTGGTAGTGAGGGATGGCGATGGATGGTGGTAGTGGACCATGAGTGGATAGTGGTAGTGAGGGGGATGGTGATGGATAGAGGAGGATGGTGATGGACAGTGGTAGTAGAGGATGGTGATGGATAGTGGTAGTAGAGGATGGTGATGGATAGTGGTAGTAGACGATGGTGATGGATAGTGGTAGTGGAGGATGGTGATGGATAGTGGTAGTGGACGATGGCGATGGATAGTGGTAGTAGACGATGGTGATGGATAGTGGTAGTAGAGGATGGTGATGGATAGTGGTAGTAGAGGATGGTGATGGATAGTGGTAGTGGAGGATGGTGATGGATAGTGGTAGTGGAGGATGGTGATGGATAGTGGTAGTGGACGATGGTGATGGATAGTGGTAGTAGACGATGGTGATGGATAGTGGTAGTAGAGGATGGTGATGGATAGTGGAGGATGGTGATGGATAGTGGTAGTGGAGGATGGTGATAGTGATGGAGGGTGAAAGATAGTGGTGTAAATCCATAATCCCGATCTCGCGTTGTCTTGAGGCCAGACAGACAGACAGACAGACAGACAGAGTAAGACCCTGTCACGGAACTACAGGTTGTGGTAATAACATCAACTATCTGGTACAGGTAACGTGGCTATCAGAGAATACAATACCAGTAGAGGAGTCGGGTAAATTTGTTCTCTTACACCCCAGGGCGTCTTGTGTACTACAGATGTGTTGAGGAAAAATGTGTATAACACATCGGCCGTGTACAAAATGTGTAAAACACATGTGCTGAAGGTATTATATGTATGAATTACACATGTCTTCATTGTTTTAAGAACTTGTTCGCTGATAAAATAATAATAATAATGATGATAATAATAATTATAATAATAATAATAATAATAATAATAATAATAATAATAATAATAATAATAATAATAATAATAATAATAAAACTACTACTACAACTACTACTACTACTTCTACTACTACTACTACTACTTTTTTTTTTTTTTTTTTTAACGTGGCCTCCAGCCTCCCCCAATAGCCACACCTTCGCCACCATTTATTTACCTTAATATTAAATATCCTAATACATAAGAAACTATCCTATCTGTGTTAAATTAGTTGAGCCGCAGATCCATGCGGCATTCGGTGACTGTAGCCTCATAGTCGATATCTGCAGCAGTTGTCGGAGTAGGGGCAGAAGCTCTCGTTCCCCTGAGGCAGAGCAAAGCCGACCGAAGGAGAGAGAAGGACAGTCGACATCTCATCCAGGCTGTGACATAACTTCTGGGCTGCTGCTTCTGTTCGGAGATCAGCTCCGCGAGTCTGGCGTAGAAACATCTTGCACTTGGGCCCATCCCACCAGAGGTTGTGAACACTAGAGGAGTGAAGCTGCCTTGATCAACATTTTGAATTCTCTCCCCATATGCCCTTCTCTTGTCGTTCTCGTTCCTCCTATGCGCAGCATCGAGAGCTAGGTTACGGTGACAAACGGCCATGGGATCAAAAATCCTGATGTCGAAGAAAGCTCGCTGTCCCCGCGTCCAGAATCCTCGAGCACTGACGTCCACACGGGCTTCGTTAGATGTGTTTGAAGTCCTGTGTTGGAGGATCTCGCCATCCAGTGGAAGGAGGGTCGGTTCTACCATGACGTCCCGGCAGATTTCCTTCAACATATTTGCTGTGAGATCCCTTACCTCGTCATGCCTCATGCATATGAAGCCCCCCTTCTTGCAAACCATGGCGTGATCGCCATCATAGGAATAGCCACACACGCATTGGGAGGGCAAACCATCTACTGGCCAACCGTACCTTAGAGCAATGGCATCTGTAAATTCTTGTTTGTTAAGGCTGAAACCATTTGCCCTTATCGGTAATGTAGTTAACCAGTTCGAGGCGCCCACCTCCTGCGCTATAGCTACTTTTTTTGTCAAATTTTCTGGAACCAGCAGCAATAGTTGCTGCAACATGTCATTTTGGCAGTGCTGCCGATCTGTTGTAATGGACCTACGGATCTTATTAACTTCGCTGGTGTCCACTTCCCCTGTTGCATTCTGGGCTATTATGTGGTCAGTGAGGGCTGCCGTGAGCTTCAGTGAATTTTGATGTTCAGAGTCAGCAATCTCCTCTGGATTAGTTAGTCCCATCCCTCCCAGTCTTGGTGGAAGTGCAAGAAGTGTTCTTTCTTCTAGAGTTAAGTCGTGGTGTTTCACTAGTTTGGGAATGAACTTGACACTGATTGCTTCTTCCAAAGGGTGGAGGAGGGGTCGGATCTCAGGGATGGTACGCATCAGGTAGTTCCAACGATGCTTGACTCCATGTGTGAATGCTGCAAAGGCCGCATGTGGCTCTGTGTTTGCAATCTCCGATAGAGCATGGACTTCGCTAACCCACTCATTCACCTTTCCCCCTACGTACTGGGTCTTGAAGTCCGTAGTGCCAATTACTGCGCCTAGATGTCTTTGGCCGTCCTTAGTAATTTTGACCTCACTTTCGCCGAAAACCTCCAAAGCCCGATCATAATGATCTGGCTTCACGATGAGGAAGGATTTGCTGGCGTTAGGGTGGTACCCTATTTGTGGACCTCGCGATGTTACCAGGTCCCACCACTTTTTGATGTCCTCCTACTACTACTGCTACCACTACTACTACTACAACTACCACTACTACTACTCCTACTACTACTAATAATAATAATAATAAAACTACAACTACTACTACTACTACTACTACTACTACTAATAATAATAATAATAATAATAATAATAATACTAATAATAATAAACGCACCTTGTGTGGGCAGCACAGTGAAACAGACGAGCAAGATGATGGCGGACGCTCTGTACTTGATGATGGTCATGTTTGGCAACTTACATGTTACAGTAGACATGGTCGTCGGTATTTATGGTGCAGGGTCTGTGTCTCACACACAGTCGTGAAGGGTCTTATAATTCACTCACTGGTCTTCGTATATGAGGTACTACTTCCTTACACGGCCAAGAGGGAACACGATGTGCTGTGGTTCATGACTACCTGTACATAAATATGGTTCACAAGATCAGTATCGACTTGTTCTTACGTTTAGTTTTCCACTTGAAGAGAATCTGTCCTGTCGAAGTGGACGTGTGTTGCTCCTCACACAGGCTGTTGTCTTATCCTCCCTGATGTTTCTTACAGACTACTGCAGACGTATAGCACCTCGGGCGTTGCCGACCAAGTTTAATCAATTTATAGTTGCTTCCATTGACACCTTGAAAAATAATATTGCACCCTCTCAGTGTATATTAAGAACAGCATTCCGAGGTAATGAAAGTATCAAACACACAGAAGCCGAGCGAGACTGAGTTAGTGAGGTGGTAGACGCAGCTGACGCCAGGAGCTGCGTCCCACGCATGCTCACAACCCACTAGTGGCACCTAGGCAACACACACACTCTTAATAAAATAACACCAACACGGTCACGACACAAATATTCTCCTTCTGAAAGTACACAAACTAACCTAACGATTTTCGGGTAGTTTTGCTTAATAAAGCATTGTGGAAAGAACAAAGTGAGTCACTTGTTTATCTATTGATTAAGCGAACTGGGAACCAACCCAAGCTAACTTAACGATCCCGGAGGGTATATTTTTACGGTACATTTATACAATGTAGAATAACTCTTAGTTTACACCACTTTACACCACCACTACACCATCACCATACATCACCACCATGTACCGCCATACATCACCACCATGTACCACCATACATCACCATACATCACCACCATGTACCGCCATACATCACCACCATATACCACCATACATCATCACCATGTACCACCATACATCACCATACATCACCACCATATACCACCATACATCACCATACATCACCACCATATACCACCATACATCACCACCATGTACCGCCATACATCACCACCATGTACCACCATACATCACCATACATCACCACCATGCACCGCCATACATCACCACCATATACCACCATACATCACCACCATGCCATACATCACCACCATGTACCACCATACATCACCATACATCACCACCATGCACCGCCATATATCACACCATATACCACCATACATCACCACCATATACCATACACATACACACCACCATGTACCACCATACATCACCATACATCACCACCATGTACCACCATACATCACCACCATATACCACCATACATCACCACCATGTACCGCCATACATCACCACCATGTACCATACATCACCATACATCACCACCATGCACCGCCATATATCACCACCATATACCACCATACATCACCACCATATACCACCACCATCACCACCATGTACCATACATCACCACCATGTACCACCATACATCACCATACATCACCACCATGTGCCGCCATACATCACCACCATATACCACCATACATCACCACCATGTACCGCCATACATCACCACCATATACCACCATACATCACCACCATATACCACCATACATCATCACATGTACCACCATACATCACCATACATCACCACCATATACCACCATCACCATACATCACCACCATGTGCCGCCATACATCACCATACCACCATACATCACCATACATCACCACCATGCACCGCCATACATCACCACCATGTACCACCATACATCACCATACATCACCACCATGCCGCCATACATCACCACCATGTACCACCATACATCACCATACATCACCACCATGTGCCATACATCACCACCATATGTACCACCATACATCACCATACATCACCACCATACACCACCATACATCATACATCCACCATGTGCCGCCATACATCACCACCATATACCACCATACATCACCATACATCACCACCATGTACCGCCATACATCACCACCATGTACCACCCATACATCACCATACATCACCACCATGCACCATACATCACCACCATGTGCCACCATACACCACCACCATATACCACCATACATCACCACCATGTACCACGATACACCACCACCATATACCAACCATATATCACCATACATCACCACCATGTACCACCATACACCACCACTAAACCACCACCATACATCACCACCACTACACCATCACCATACATCACCACTAAACCACCAATACACTATCACCATACATCACCACTAAACCACAACCATACACAACTACCATGCACCACCACCACACACCACCACCATAAAGCACCACACACCACCACCATAAAGCACCACACACCACCACCACACAGCACCACACACCACAACACACCACCACCATACAGCACCACACACCACCACACACCAACACCATACACCACCACCACACACCACTAACACTCATTAAGCTGTCGCGAATTTAATGTCTTTCAAACACGAAATAAAACTAAGGCAATAACAATAATCTTCATTACACATAAATATATAATTTTCGCCACTTAACAGGTTACTAGGTTAACGAACACGAAATTAATGTCCCGTAAAATATAATAAAATGGCGGGAAAATAGTGTGTTTCCATCCACCACAATAATAAGAGTGATTCTAGTAATTGTAATGCAACAATTTAAATTAATTCATAAAACACCGCCATTCAGCAACCTACTACTGTGTACTCTTGTGTTTACACCAGTATTTGACATCGTCATTTAACTCAGTAGTTATAAACCTGGTATTTAAATACTACAAAATACTAGTTTGTTTACAATATCATTTAATTCTGTCATTTAAGTTCATTCATACGTATATCAGATTATTTTCATTTACTTCAGCTTAAAATAAAAAAAAAATCGGTCTGTTTTTGTCCATGAATATGAGTTTACTGTGTATATATTTCATATGTAAACATTATCACGATTATTTTAATTTACCGTAGATAAATATATAAGTATAGTAGTACTATTAACTCTATAACGTATGGATATACTGTAATTATTAATAAGGTCATAAAAATTACATAAGTTTACCTTAAACAAACTATTACATGGTTAATAAAGAAAACGAACTTTATTTATGGAAAACTTAACTATTTCTCTGTAGCCGATGAGCGGTGTGTTCAATTGACTTTTACCTTTATCCTCTTTGCCACTCATCGGCTCGTTATCCTCTTGGGAGGTTTTCCACATCTATGCTACGCACGTGGTCATTTTAAGATAATATAAACGTGGGAGGAAACTTTAAAATGGCATTTTAAACTAGCGACCCTAAGAATGGTGTTTATATCAGGAGTTTCTTCACGACGGTTGTTTTAATCCACATACAGAGTGCAACTCCCTTGAGCTGGAGGATGTCCTCCCCACTAGAGGTATCAGCTTAAGGTTTAAGAAACCACAAATTCAGAAAAGTGTCAGGGCAAACTTTTTTGGAGTGAGAGTTGTGAACTCTTGGAGCAATCTGCCAAAGTGTTGTGACGTCACCGAGTGTGAGGTCATTCAAGACCAGACTTGACCAACACTGGCGCAGGTACAGATACATTCTAGAGCCAGTACATGCTCAGTACTTGCCAACAGTGGTTAACAGAGCCAGTAGATGCCCAGTACTTGCCAACAGTGTGTAACAGAGAGCCAGTACATGTCCATTACTTGCCAACAGTGTGTAACAGAAAGCCAGTACATGCCCTTAGAGAAAGTAGATTCTTAACGCAATGTATTTTGTCTAAATTCCCACACCTGACATAAACCTCCCCACCAAGCCCGTGCGCGTGTACGTGTGTATGTATTTCCACAACTTTATTATTTTCAAGAATATAATTTTATGAGCATTTATGTCTTTTGTCTTGCATTAAAAATTACAAACACAACACCCAATTGATAGTCCAAATAACTCGTTTATAGACCCCGTCCAAATATGACGTCAATACCAGGACCTCAAAACATAGGGGATTCGAAACCCTGAATCAGGTCTCGAACAATGAATCAATTCTATCAAGGATTTTAAGTAAAGTTGCAAGTAATTAAGCTTGATTAAGTTAGTTGGTTAATAGTGTAACTAAATATTATGTATTTTCTGGTTGGCGCTTAAGTAATAGTGTTTCTATATTCATTTGCAAAGTGAGAATTGGATGATAGATGGTTCACTATGGGGGAGTCGAGTCCTCATTCACAAATTAAGAAGTTTCACAGTGAACTTGAGACAGATGTGATGTAACACTCAGTCATTGAGGTTGGTGGTGAAGAGCTGCTTGCCCTGTAGAAAAAAATAAATGATTTTGTGAGAGCTGGATGAATAAGAGATCAAAGGATTGTAGTGAACACAACATACCTGCCATTTGCCTGTACTGTCTTATACAAAATGTACATAATGTTTCTCAACTGTGGAAGAATCATCTGCTTCATGTACTTCGCCAGTTCCACAAACAACTTCTGCTTGTTCTGGTCCACTTGCAGGAAAGCCGCCCAGTTACCAGGAACTTTAGTTGCAAGGGTCACGAGCCTACGTGTGCCACTACCTCGTTGCTCTCTTGTGGATGATTCCAGACTTGTCTCAGAGTATACATCCCAGACGACGTCGACCCTCTGGTTATTTTCAAACCATTTGAAAACACAAGGGAAGAGGACACTTGTACAGTAATGGACAATCGTCGTGGCATTACCTGGACGCAGCATCTGCACAAGCACTGGCCTATCGAGCACAGCACAAGAGGTGGGAAGCCTGGCATCCACAGCAGTGTCTGACATGATACATTTAAGGATCTCGCTCTTTGCCCCATGGTACATCTTCCCTTTTCGTGTGAAGCTCATTGAAAGCTTGAGCTTTCATTACTTTGGCAGCATAGCTTTCACGATCATATGGATCACAATCAACTACATCTGCCTTTCTGTAAAGTCTACTCAGGCATGCACGGTGGTACACAGCATCTATCGCAATCATGTCTCCTTTCGACAGTTTGCCCTGAAGTTTCACATCACTGATTTTCTTTGAAGCATCATTGACTCTCTGGTTTAGGCTAGGAGTGGAAGCTTTTCTCAAGTCCTTCTTGACTCCAGATTTTACAAAAGAAGCATATTGTTGCAGAAGAGTCCTTGCCTTCACTTGATGTAACCTGGTACTCCTGTGTGACACAAACTCTACCAGAGCTCATCCGCCGTGTTTTCATTGGGCTTCCTTGGTGTTTACTCCTCTCTTCATTACTCTTGGCCCGCTCCACCTTCTGTTTGTTGACGGCACTTCTGCAATTTTTGTGCCACACTGCAAGGTTAGTTTTCATAAGTTCCACTATACTGCTTGCACCACCACCCCCGCCATCAATGTCATCTAGTACTATGAAGCTGGGTGACTTTCTAACTCGTAGAGCTCTGAGATATTGTCCAGAAATTCTTGGTAAAATGCTTCTAGTTTCTTGGGTTGGCCACGTAATTTTATAAATGATGCAGTATCTATAACTGCTTCATTTGTAT